GGCAGAGTTACAGAGAGATGGAGAGGCAGAGAGAGAGGTCTTCCATTTACTGGTTCACTCCCCAAGAGGCTGCAAAGGCCAGAGCTGGACCAATCCAGAGCCAGGAGCCAGGAACTTCTTCTGGGTCTCCCACGCAGGTGCAGGAGCCCAAGCACTTGGGCCATCTTCCATTGCTTTCTCATGTGATAAACAGGGGCCTGTATGGGAAATGGAGCAGCCAGGTCTCAAACTGGTGCCCGTATGGGATGCCAGCATGACAGGCAGATGCTTAACCAATTACATTACTGTGCTGCTGCAGCCCCCCCACTCCGTGTTCTAAGTTTTAATTTTTGTTTGCCTCAGGCTGTCTCTGTGCCAAGAATCAGTCTGAGGTGTGAGCATAAGGTCTTTTCTGTACTTTTCTATCAGAATGAATAATCGCTTTCTAATTTTCCCCATATAAGTAGTTGTTTTGAATATACTTTTCTATTGACTACTACAAAGGGAAAATAGAAAATTGAGGGAGGGGGCTGGCATTGTGGCATAGCTGGTAAAGCCACTGCCTGTAGTACTGGCATCCCATATGAGTGCTGGTTTGAAACTCGGCTGCTCGACTTCCTATCCAGCTCTCTGCTATGGCCTGGGAAAGCAGTAGATGATGGCCCAAGTCCTTGGGCCCCTTAACCCACGTGAGAGACCCGGAAGAATCTCCTGGCTCCTGGCTTCAGTTTGGCACAGCTCCAGCCATTGCAGCCATATGGGAAGTGAATCAGTGGATGGAAGACCTCTCTCTCTCTCTGCTCCTCCTTCTCTCTGTAACTCTGAAATGCAAGTAAATAAATAAATATTAAAAAAAATAAAATTGAGGGGCCGGCGCTGCGGCTCAGTAGGCTAATCCTCCGCCTTGCAGTGCCGGCACACTGGGTTCTAGTCCCGGTCAGGGCACCGGATTCTGTCCCGGTTGCCCCTCTTCCAGGCCAGCTCTCTTCTGTGGCCAGGGAGTGCAGTGGAGGATGGCCCAAGTGCTTGGGCCCTGCACCCCATGGGAGACCAGGAGAAGCACCTGGCTCCTGCCTTCAGATCGGCGTGGTGCGGCAGCCATTGAAGGGTGAACCAACGGCAAAGGAAGACCTTTCTCTGTCTCTCTCTCTCTCACTGTCCACTCTGCCTGTCAAAAAAAAAAAAAAAAAATGAGGGAGAATAGTGTGAAAAGATTATGGTTCTTTAAATATCCTGGAAATCACCTCAACTCAAAGGGCAGGAGCTTCCAACAACAGAGAGGCGCAAAAATGACTGTTCCTGTGTGATCAGAAACAGATCAGCAATAGAAGTCACTGATCAGAGCACAGGTCCCTGATACTTAGAGTGCTAGATAAACTTCTAATGCTTGCACAGTTGACAGCCACAGAGCTGAGGATTTGAAATGGGTAGAGGCTCTCCTGCTAAAAGCTGAAATTTACCATACAAGCTTAGTCAGTTTTTGCTACTGCAATGAAATACTCATGTCAGCTAAGGTTATAAAAGAAAATATTTAGCATACAGTTTTGGCGGCTTGGATCTAATATCAGACAGCCCCATTGGTTTGACCTATAATGAGAGCAATGGATGGGAGTGATGGAGTGTGTGCAGATGAAAAACCACATTGCAAACCATGAATCAGAAAGAATAAGAGAACCTCAGGCTTCTATAACCAGCCTTCTGGGAAGAACTAAATAGTGATGATTCATATATATATATATATATATACACACACACACACATATACATATACATACATACATATACATATACATATACAGATGAAGGGAATGAGATAGGGTTGTAGAATGGGGCCCAAACATATCTATAATATGAAACAGTGTGCATGAGCCCTCCAGTTCATAAAAAATGTTAAATAACAAAGCAAAACTATAAGAGATATATAAAATATGAAAATATGTGTTATAAAAGCCTGTGCAGTTATGCCACATCTGACATAAAACAAATTATTTGGGTCTTCCCTCTTGATGGATCTTGAAAGACTATCTTAGGAATGTCAAAGAACTAAATTTTCATTTCTTTGATCCTATTTTGTTGTTACTTTGTATTTTATTAATTTTGTTCTTATCATAGTATCTCCTATTATTTTAATACCAATTACTTAAATATAATGTTTATATAATTTTTTCTAGGTTGAACACTTACTGAACTTGTATTAAGAAATATTTTCTTTATTTTGTTTAAGGAATACAACTTTGTGATTTAATATATACAATTTTGAGAACATGATGCTTCATCCCCCTCTACCTCCTTCCTACCCATACACCTGGCTTTCTTCCTTCTCCCTCTTCCTTTCCCATTCTTATTTTTTACAGGGATCAATTTTCAGTTGATTTTTATATTCATGAGATTAACCCTACACCAAGTAGAGAGTTCATCAATTAGCATGAAAACAAAAAACAGAAACAAACAAACAAGAAAACCATTGCTCCCCAACAGTCAAGGCAAGGGCTATTCAAAATCATCACATCTCAAAATGTCAGTTTCACTTCTATAGATTATATTTTAAGTACTATATTAGTTAACACAGATCAGAGAGACCATATGGTATTTGTCCTTTTATGATTGGCTTATTTCACTAAGTATAATGGTTTGCACTTGTATCCATATTGTTGGAAATGTCAGGATTTCATTTTGTTACCATTGTAGTATTCCATGTTGTATTTATGCCATACTTTCCTTATCCAGGCTTCAATTGATGGATTTCTAGGTTGATTCCATATCCTAGCTATTGTAAATTGAGCTGAAATGAACATGGGGTACAGATAACTCTTTCATATGCTGATTTCATTTCCTATGGATAAATTCCCTGGAGTGGTATGGCTGGGTTGTATGGTAGGTCTCTATTCAGCTTTTGGATATTTTCCACACATGTCTTCCACAGCAGCTTTACCAGTTTACATTCCCACCAACAGTGAGTTAAGGTACCCTTCTTCCCACATCCTTGCCTGCATTTGTTCTTTGTTGATTTCTAATGGGAGTCATTCTAACTGGGGTGAGTTGAAACTTCACTGTGTGTTTGTTTTTTAAATTTTATTTAATGAATATAAATTTCTGAAGTACAGCTTATGGATTACAATGGCTTGCCCTCCCCCATAATTTCCCTCCCACCTGCAACCCTCCCCTCTCCTGCTCCCTCTCCCCTTTTATTCATATCAAGATTCATTTTCAATTATCTTTATATATAGAAGATAAATTTAGTATATATTAAGTAAAGATTTCAACAGTTTGCACCCACACAGAAACACAAAGTGTAAAATACTGTTTGAGTACTAGTTATAGAATTAAATCACTCATTGTGGTTTTGATTTGCATTTCCCTGATGGCTAGCAATCCTGAGAATTTTTTTCATGTGTCTACTAGATGTTTGAATTTCCTCTCTTGAAAAAATGTCTGTTCAGTTCCTTTGCCCATTTCTTAATTGGATTGTTTGTTTTGTTGTTGAGTTTACTGAGCTCTTTTTAGATCCTGGAAGTTAACCTTTGTCAGTTGCATTGTTGGCAAATATTTCCCCCATTCTGGCAGTTGCCTCTTCTCTCTGCTGAGTGTTTCTTTTGCAGTGTAGAAGCTTCTCAGTTTGATGTAATCCCACTTGCTAATTTTAACTTTGATTGCCTGGCCAGCACCTCGGCTCACTAGGCTAATCCTCCGCCTTGCAGTGCCGGCACACCGGTTTCTAGTCCCTGTCGGGGCGCCGGATTCTGTCCTGGTTGCCCCTCTTCCAGGCCAGCTCTCTGCTGTGGCCCGGGAGTGCAGTGAAGGATGGCCCAAGTCCTTGGGCCCTGCACCCCATGGGAGACCAGGAGAAGCACCTGGCTCCTGCCATCGAATCAGCGCGTTGGGCCGTCTGCAGCGTGCTGGCCGCAGCGGCCATTGGAGGGTGAACTTTAATTGCCTGTGCTACTGGGATCTTTTCCAAGAAGTCTTTCCCTATGCTAATGTCTTGTGGGGTTTCCCCAGTGTTCTCTAGTAATCTGATGGCATCACATCATAGATTTAGGTCTCTGATCCATTTTCAGTGGATTTTTGTGTAAGGTGTGAGGTAGGGGTCTTGTTTCATACTTCTGCATATGGAGATCCTATTTTTCCAGCATCATTTATTGAATATACTGTCTTGGCTCCAGGAGTTGATTTTTGCTCCTTTGACAAAGATAATTTGGTTGTAGATCCATGGATTTATTTCTGGGGTTTCCTTTCTGCTCTATTTGATGTCTGTTTTTGTGTTAGTACCAGGCTGTTTTGATTATAACTGTCCTGTAGTATGTCTTGAGGTCTGGTATTGTGATGCCTCCAGCTTTGTTTTTGTTGTTTAAGATTGCTTTAGCTATTCAGGGTCTCATGTTTCCATATGAATTTTAGCACCAATTTTTCTAGATCTCCAAAGAACGTTAAGAGTATTTCGATTGGTATCATACTGAATCTATAAATTGCTTTTGGTAGTATGGAGATTTTGAAGATGTTGATTCTTTTAATCCATGAACATGGAAAGAAGCAGTCAAGGATACCCACTCTTACCATGGCTATTTCATATAGTTTTAATCTTTTTATTTTTAATATTGACTCTGACGGCTCTGTATTTCCCTCTATTGCTTTAATGCATGCCCCAAGTTAACATGCAATATTTTCATTATTATTCACTTCAAAAGATAACTATATTTTATTTATTATAAATTATAAAATGTTTTATTTAAAAAAACAAGTGTTTTATGAATGTGTTTCCAAAATTTCCAAAAAGTGCATTTGTCAAGTTACATCTTGTTATTCAATTTAGCTATATTTGTGCTCTAAGAATAAAAGCTCATGATAATGGTTGTCCGAAAAATTACAAGACTTATGTTTTAACCTATTATAAACAATGCTGGATAATGTTTGTGTATTAGAAATAGTATGACTTCTCCATTTGTTACCAGCACTGTTCTATATGAGTTCATTATATCAAGTTTATGTTCACATTTCCTAAAACATACTTGATTTTTGCCTTCCTATTGTACTGGTTATTGGAATGTGAGAATAAAATTCTTCCTTGATAGTTAATTTATCAAATTATCTTTGCTAAAGATCTATAATTAACTAATATAAGATCATAAGTGATATACATTACTGGATATTTAAACATTTTATCAATATATAATAACAGACAATCTCCAGTAATGCTTGTTTCCTTTATGTATATTTTGCCTAATCACAAAAAAAAAGCTTCATTTTGCATTTGCTTCCTATTCTTTTTCTCATTATTCCACTTTGGTCATTTTTGTATCTTCATATTCTCATACTTCATGTATTTTCATAATGAACCTGACCAGTAGTAGTGCCAGGGTAACTATTTGCCACTTTCTCTATTTTATTTAGTGACAGCTTTCCTAAACTGCTGTTACTTAATTTTAGGAACATGGAGCCCAGTGCACATAGGGATCTGAGAGAGCTCTGTGACTATAGTTTAGAAATTTCTGATGGAGGAACCTCTGTGCAGAGTTTAGTTCAAAGTAGGACGCCCTTCCTGCAGCTGCGGGCTCTGCTGCCAAACGGCCCTAGGCTGAAGTGCAGGGCTGAGCCTGTGCACGAACCAGCATCTCTGAGGAAGCACACAGTTGAGCCAGGGCTGTCTGGGCAGGCCCTACTTAGGTAGACACGGGGAAGGTCCATGATGTGCACTAAATATAAATCCATCGCAGGCTACATGACAGCACTACATGACAGCAATATCTAGTGCAAGTAGTTGTGATGAAATTAAACAGAGCAAGCATCTGGTACAGTGGTTAAGATGCCACTAATGGGTTGCTCACATTCAATATTAGTGGGCTCTGTTCATGTCCTCACTCTCTCACAAATCCAGCTTCCTTCTGATAGACAACTTTGAAGCAGCAGATGATGGTGCAGGTCCTTGGGACCCTGCCACTCACAGGTCCCAAGACAAACAGGTGTCTAAAACCTTCAGCCCGGCCCCCAGTGATTTTGAAGAAGGTCTGGGTGGGGTGCACTGGCATTAGGGTCACCTGTCCTGCAGTTCCCTGAGGATTGGCCCTGCACAGAGACCGTGACCAACATACCCAGCACTGGAGGGATCTAGTCACAGATGCACCTCTCCTATCATGAAGCCTCCAGGTAAGTCCTTCCACACCCCCAGGCCCTACAAAGCAAACCTCACTTGCTACTGGGTGAAAGCAGTTGCTACCTGGCTGAGAGGGACCCCAAGGAGATGACCAGAGGACAATGCTGAGATGAGTGAGTCAGGAAGAAATGTGACCAAAGTAGCAAAGAAGCTCTCACTGTCTTAATCCAGGCTGAATTATTGAAGTGTGTTTTTAATAAAAGTGTAATAGACATATAGAAACATACATCAATTATAAGGGTACAGCTTGATGAATTTTCTCCAATGAAATACACCCATGTGACCACCAAACTGACACAGACAGAGGCCATTACCCAGACCCCAAGTGTCCTTCATGTCACATCCAAGTCACGCCTTCTCCAATGGCAGCCACAGTCCTGATCTTTAGCATTGGCAGTCAGCTTTCACTTCCTTTGAAATTGAAATCAACAATTTCAAAAGTCACTGCTTTTCCAATTTTATTTGAAAGGCAGAGACAGAGAAAGGGACAGACAGAGGCCTCCCATCTGCTGGCTCACTCCTCCAATGCCTGCAGCAGCCAAGGCTGGGCCAGGCTGAAGTCCGGAGCCTGGAACTCCATCTCATTCTCTTGCATGGGTGGCAGGGATTCCAGTGCTTTGGACCATCCCCTGGTGCCCCCTGAGAGCACACATTAACAGGAGGCTGGAGTCCAACTTGAACCTAGACACTCCAGCATGGGGTACAGGCATCCCAAGTGGTGTCTTAACCGCTGCATGAAGCACCTGCCCCACGATGCACCCTTTCATGCCTGGCTGCTCTTGATCAACACTGTTGGTGAGCCACCTCCATGCCTCCTGCACAGATTGTGGAGCTCTTCTGGTCCTCAGAGCAACCTAACGTGCTTTCCAAAGCCAGAGGGCACCTCTACAATGACAGGGCAGCCCTGGTTTAGCAGGCATGGGCTCTAAGGTTTGAACATCAGGAAAAGATCTCTTTCATTTTCAGTGCCTCAGAGATACTAAACCAATTACACTGAGTCATTCTTAATGTATGTTTCACTCTTTCATGCCTGTAGACCATGCAGTAAGCCCCTTTCTTCCAGATAGTGGCCATGTCTGCCTTTTCTTTCATTCCTTATCAATTACACTGGTTTATTTTCCAAAAACAAAGAAAACCAATTTCTGGCTTAGTTCATTTACTCTGCTGTTACGGCTTTCCAGCATCACTAGTTACTGCTCTTACCTTCCATACATTTTGTTCTTCTTTGTCTTCTAACGTCTGAGAAAGATTCCTTGATTCATTTCTCCCTGCCTCTTCCTACTTCTAAGTTTTCTAAATTGTTTCCCTCACCTTCAAACCCACCCTTCTGAGTTCTGTGATGCTGGAACTGTCACTGAGGGCCCATGTTCCCTACACGGAGGTGCTGTCCCATGGTCACCAAGATCTCTGCCAGGGGACTTGGCCTCCAGACCTACCTTCTTGTCCTTTGCTCTTTAGCTCTAGGATGGAAGCTGCTTCCAGAAACCCAGTGTTCTCAACTCTCCCTTCTACCTTCTTCTGGTTTAACTAGTCTCTTCTACTGACTTCATTCTGTAAACATCATTGGTTTTGTCTCTGTTTGCTGAGTGCAGCTGTCCCATAGTAATCACATGAAGAAAAGAAAGGAAACCAGTTCAGAAGTGGACTGTAGCTTTGGGGAGAAGCTACCAAGCTAGGAATCTAGAAGCTTCTTTCTGTTTCTCCTCTCTCTGAGCCTCCCCAGCCCAACTGTCATCATCCCCTGGGACATGCACTGCAACTCACAGTCTGACCATCTCGTGCTTCAGATCTGCAATGTCCTTGTGTGTGAGGGTCAGCTGCTCAATGATAACTAGCAGGGCTGGCCGGGGGCTCTGCCACCTCCGTCCCCAGGCTCCAGCATTGCCTTGCAGGATACCCAAATTCCAACAACCAGAAGGAGGAGAGCAGAGGGAGAAACTTCCAAAGGGGCCTGGAACTGAAATACTAATTTCCATTGCAAACCCATTTGGTAAACTAAGTCAGATGGTCAGCCTCACCGCTGAAGTTCCAGGTTAACAAGCATGGGATCATGGAGACATGCTTCCCGATGCTGAGGTTGACATGTGCCCCACATGGCCACCAAAGCAGAAATGCCTCATGCTGTCTTCCATGGACTGCAGGAGGCTCTTCCTCACAAGTTCCTACCACACATGTGGTTTACAACACATGGCTAGGATCCTGTCCGTGTTTATCTGTCCTGCGTGTGGTAAGCCTATGTTTACAGCTTGATGTTTCCCCATGTATATTCATATTCTGTTTCAGCATGCAAAAGTATTTTCACACAGTTCTGAGTCATCTTCCACCCCATGACTACTTGCATTGTGTCCAACCCTCTCCCCACCGTTTTTGAGTAGCACACCCACTCAGTCCCCTCCATGATGTCTGTGGTTTCAGTTTTGATTTTCTGCTTTAATTCACCTTCGAAACACCAGCAAGACCTTCCAAACTCATATTCCGACCATGACACAGGATAGGTTTCCCTTGTACCAACCTGGCTTTTTCTGTTCATTCTTTGCTTCTGCTTTTTTTTCCTTTCTCTTGAGTCCCACATATCCCTTCTGAGTGTCTCCTCCCTACCAACACATGCCCTCAGGACAACTCAATTCCACCTAAGAAATTTAAAAATGACCTAGTACAGGGATCTTAAGCTCTGATGGAGGTTGGAAAGTTGTCTCAGGGGCTTGTTACTCCCCAAACACTAATCACCTAACCACGACCAACACCTCTCCTGGTTTCTCCCTACACCTTGGCCCCACCCCAACACTGAATATCCCCTGTGTCTACAGCACTGCCTGCTCAGGACACTGGACAGAAACAAAATCTCACACGTGACCTATTGTGTCTGGCTTCTCTCACTGACCTACATCAGGGTCATTTCAAGCCCTGACCCCCAGAGAAGGCTGGCAAGACCCCTACTACCACTGGGGAATAATCAGCAAGTGCAGGGGGAAGGTAGTGATTGCCCTGGTCATCAGAGAGCCAGCCCTGTCCCCAGACCCCTAAGGAGCCTGGCTGAGGCTCAACAGCCACTCTGCATGGGTCAAGCCCTGCATCTTACAGACCATTGGGCCACCCCAGGACTTCTTTCAGGGTGTACACCAAGGCATCTGGCCACCATCAGCCACACATGGTAGTCAGCCCCAGGTACACATGGGGCCACAGAGCCTGCGCAGTTGCATCTCAGCTTTGGGTTTAAGAGAGAGGAACCACTTTCCAGGTGCCAGTGGGAACAGCAACTGGTAGTAGGCTCCCAATGCACACACAGGGAGTGATGGGGCCTGTAGCTCTTCAGGGTCCACATCTCTGCAGGTGAGGGCACCAGCTTCACTCGAAAATGATCCCAAGGGACCAGACGGGAAGCTGGGTGTCCTGAAAGGGACAACGACCATGCAGAATCAGAAGCCCCAAGGAGGGGGTAGCAGGTCTAGCCCAACTGTGGCTCTGGGTGCCCCTAGCCCTGCCCTGGGGTAGGGCATTCCCTGTGTTGGTGCAATTGTGGAGAGTAGGGGAGATGGCTTTGAAAAAAGCAGAGTAGGCAGTGGCCACTGGGAATTTGGGGATGTCTTGTGCGAGGAGGGAGCTCAGCTTAGGAGCCACAGGAAGTGACCTAGAGAACTGGCTGCCCTGACAACCACCTCCACATTCCAGAGTTGAGTCTCAGACAACTCACTTGGTATACTCTCTAAGGAAGATGTTCCTGTGTTGTTTCCCATGGTGCTGAAGCCCAGGCCCCAAGAAAACCCATTGTGGGCGCCTTGCCCACTGGTAAAGACACTGGGCCAGCCCTCACCCCCCGACACACCTGGCACTTTCACCAGAAAAATGCCAGAGTGAGTATGGCAGCCAGGGCAGGTTTCTAAGGGCCTGTACACCAATCAGACCCCAAGTTGTGATCCCACACTCCTCTGGGTGTGCAGGGGACAGAGGGGCCACTTCACCCTAGGCAGGGGGAGGCTGGAGGTCAGTGGGAACCTATTCCCAGAGCTGGGTGGGTATGGAGGGATCCCAGGGACTGCCTCTTTCCTGCCATTCCCAGCTCTTGTCTCCTAGATCCAGGACAGGTCAGCCATGCCCCTGGCACAGTACAGTGGGCTGAGGATCACCAGTAGCCTTGACATGCACCAGCCGCCTGTAACAGATGACCCATGTGTGGTGGAGCAGTGGACAAACACATCCACAGTTCAGAAACCCTGTAACAGGAGTTCCCAAGTGTAGACAAACTACCTGAGGTTGCATGCAGTCCCTCTATTGGTAATGGCCCAGGTGGAGCCCAGGAGGTCCACAAATGCCTATCTCCCAGCAGGGGCAGTGGGGCCCGATGGCTCTGCCTTTGTCAGACATGAAGCAATGTCAGGGCCAGGAGTGGCACCTGACCTCACGCTTGGGTAAGAAAGAGCCCTCACCTTCAAGCAATACCCACATTGGAGTATTGCTAGTGCACCAAGGATGAGAGCTGGCATACGGATGCACAGGGGACATCCATGTCCCCAAGTGCTAAGCAGGGCCCAGCAGTGGACCTGACAAAAGAGCCAGTGGGGATGATGCACCTGGAGCCATGGGTGTGGGGGGCAGTTGAGCCAGAAGCCACTGTGTCCCCAGCTACAGCCAAGGAAGCTGCAGGGGCACCAGATGCAGCACTGGCCCCAGCCTCAGCCTCAGCTCCTGAATTCCCTTCTGCTTCAGCCCCATGCCACACCTTTCCTTCCCCTCCCCCATGAACTTTTATTTCTCTTTACTCATCCCCATTTTGTTCCTTTTCTCCACCTTATTTTCCCTTTATCTCAATAAAACTTAAATTGTTAACCACTGTGAAATGTACAATTCACACCATGTGAACTACTGAGGCCATGCCTTCCCCACCCCACTCTGACTGCACAATGGCCCCAATGCCAAAGACCTGGATCCTCTGGAGAGGACACTGGCACCTCTGCAGGGACAGAGCCAGAATTGCATGTTTGGAAACAGAACACCATATGCTGGGAATGCCAAGGAAAGCAATGAACAGGGAGACGCTGTCATTGGCTGGGGTAGTGCCTCCTCATGGTCAGGGACCCAGGCTCTAAGGTCTGACAGAACTGACCTCTAGTGGTCAGTGACCTCTAGTGGGTGTTCTCACTGCAGCCTCAGTGTCCTCATCTGTGAAATGGGATGGCAGCCCTGCCCAGAGCCAGGACCGGGACAGGGAATGTGATGCGCTGCAACTCCCTGTATACACTGGGAACCCCAGCTTCTGGGATGAGGGGTGCACAGGAAGGAGGAAAGGAGTTCTTCCAGTGAGGGCACAGGGGCCACACACACAGAGAAGCAATCACAGTCTCTGTTCCTGTGCTCAACAATGGGTCACTGGCAGAAGAAGCAGAGCAAGGATTTGCTCACAGCACAGGATACAG